CATCTGATTCCATTGGGTCTCCTCTCATCAAAGTGAGGACTTTTTTAGGGCATGAAGAAGGCTCACTGGACAGATACTGTAAGTAAAACATCCTGTGGATCACATGAGGTTGCTAGTGTCCATCTCTGTTAGCCATTGTTGTCATCTGACTCCTCCACTGTCCGTCAGCCACAGTGGGTGTGAACCAGAGCCTACTTCTAGTTCTGTCTTAGAAACTTTATCTCCGTCTCTAGTATATCTCCTTTGTTTTGCTCACAGGGCATTGTGCCTGCTAGACAAGCACTCTACCTCTGAGCCACATCCTCAATCCTTGTAGCTCATCCCTTTTCACCACAGTTCCTCAGAGATCACTGCCCGGGTTCAGTCAACTCCTTAGCCAATTCTTCCCAGCACCATGGCAGGTCTTGAGTGTCGTGAGTCCATGTGTAGCAGTGACTAGGTGGGACCTGCTGAGAGGAGTGATACCAGATCGCCCTTTGTGTCCTTGGAGGAGATTCTGCTTGTGTTCCTGTTGGAAGGGCTGCAGCTGCTGCAAGTTTCTCCTTATCTCGTGGGAAATCATGCACTTGTCTGAAGAGATAGAAGCAAAAGTTCTTTTCATCAAACAGATTTTTTTTTTTTTTTTTTTAAAGACAAGGTCTCATTAGGTAGACTAGGCTGGCCTGGAACTCTTTGCCTTTGCAGGCATTAAAGAGTGCTGGAATTAAAAGCTTGTGCTACCATGCCTAAGTCAAATAGAATTCTCTTCCATAGTTGCTTTTTTGGAGCCATAGTGTGTATTGTAAACTTAAGGCTGTTTCTTAACTGGGTCCTTCAGATTAGTAGTGAATGGTGCAGACATTGTAAGAAACAGATGTGGAGTATTTCCTAGCTTCTCAGCTTCCCTTAACTGACTGCTCTCCCGCTCTGCACCATGAAGTTACTGTGTTTACTTTTGTGTTTAGTCTGTATGTCTTGGGAGCTGTGCTGCAGAGGTTCTGTCTTCTCTGGCAGTGTGGGTGTGCATTGTATGAACATACAATAATTACTGTGGCCGGTCTCCTGCCATCTTTGTATCTGTCAGCATGAGTGCTTTCTCCTGTCTTTGTGAGTGCTGTTCTGAATAACTTTCTATGCAGTGTGTGGTTTCTTAGGCAGGCGAAGGGTTGGGTAAATTTATAGAAGTTCTTCTGCTGAGTTAAAAGTCTCCGTTTTAAAGCTTGCTAGATTTTACCATATGTTCTCCATAAAGGGTACTTTACACTCTGCTATGGAGAGCCAGTGTAACCTGCTGTCATGTCACACTGTGAGCTCTGCGAATCTGGTAGTTAAAAAGCAGCTCAGGGCTCTTGAGATGGCTCTGGGTGAGGAACTGACTTGTGCAGGTTTTACTTTGACCTCCACATGTGTATTGTGACATGAACCCTCCCTCCCTCCCCCTCCCTCCCTCTCTGTGTCCCCTCCCTCCTTTCTCCCCTCCCTCCCTTCCTCCCCCATTCCCCCTCCCTCCCCCTCTCTGTGTCCCCTCCCTCCTTTCTCTCCTCCCTCTCTCTTTCCATTCATTTATTTATCTTATATGAGGCACAGCACATGTGTAGTCAGAGGACAGCTGTGGGAGTCAGTTCTTTCCCCCAGGATGTCAGTTCCTGGGATCAGGTTCTGGTTGTCATGCTTTACCCACTCGACTGTCTTGCCTGCCTGCCTGCTTCCCTCCCTCCCTCCCTCCCTCCCTCCCTCCCATTTGTTTATTTATTTATTATTATTTATTATCATCATCATCATCATCATCGAGAGACAGGGTCTCACTGTGTAGCTCTGGCTGGCCTGGAACTCGGCATGTAGACCAGGCTAGCCTCCCGCCTCTGCCTTAGGGTACTAGACTTACAGGTGTGCCATACCATGTTTGACTACGTGGTTATCTTTATGTTTTTAAGAATTCCAACCTCTCTATTCTTTCTACTGAAGCTCCACATACAACATAGGAAAAAGGCATTTCTTGTCTGTGTGGTGCCTGTTGGCAGGCGGTATGGCTGGCCTGGAGGGTTTCTCTAGGGAGATGAGGACCGAGGGGCTGAGCCAGGTACAACACTTGGGAGTATGAGGGATAGGTAGAGAGGGGCCAGACTCAGGGTTGTCTGTGGGTAGTTCAGAAATATGGAAGGTGGTAAACCCTGATTGAAGAACAGGGGCTAATTCTATTTGGCAGGACTTTGCTGTGATGACCTCATTTAATTGGCTGGGCTGTTTATGCTAGAACCATGCCAAGGAATGCAGTGTCCATATGGACTGTCTCTTGGTCCCATCATATGGGCAGTACTGAAGGTGGAGGACTAATGCTAATAGTGACTGTGGGAGACTTAGGTGCAAAGTAGGGGACAGTGCTTTGCAAGGTGCTGCTGACATATACCCTGACATGGCTACTGAGATGTGGGGATGCCATCAGTACCTGTTGTCAGATGGGGAAGTGGAGACATGGGTTGGAAAAGCACCTGCTGCAAATGCAGTTTTGAGTACAGGAACCAAAATGTGCTATTGGTTGTAGGCAGATTGGGTTCCTGCACTGCCCTCCTAAGGGTCTGGTCACCCCCTTTCTATGAGTGTTCTGATGCCCTATTATTACTGAGCTATGCCCTGTGAAGTATATATTCTTTGTGTTTTAGTATGTTGATGAAAATGTCCACCTGTTGAGGCCGTCTTAGAGCGAATCATTAAGGAAGTGTTTGTAGATTTGTAGAAGACCAAGAATAATGAGTAGGGTTTCAGTTTCTGCCATCATCTCTGACCATGTCTGAAGCACTTGCTAACCCCACTTCTGGGCCTCATACCGTGGGCTCATCTTGTGGCCTGTTGAGCACTTGAGGCGGTTGTAGGTCTGTCTTTCTCCAATGTGAGTTTTCTCTGGGTGGCCTTCCTATCCATGGAAACTCAGCTCTGGAGCAGACATCAACAAGCCAGAGGGTGTGGGTGGTGGGAGAGAAGTACTTCAGGGTCCCTGGTCTCAGGAAGGCAGTGTTCTTCCCTTGCTCTCTCTGTCTTCACTTTCACATGATCTTGGCTTTTCCCATGCCTGTGCCCAGGGTGCCCTCAGATTCTTCATTCTAGTAACCCTGTGGACCTGAGAGTAAACAAAACTTTTAGGGAAGACCCAGTTCTGTTTATTCTCTCTGGGATGACCCTCAGTTGCTGGAAAGAATACTGCTTCTGTGTGCTCTGAATCCCAGACAAAATCATAGTCACTTGAATGTTAGGTACCCGAATTGCATCTTCTTATGTTTAAATAGATAAGATGGGTAGAAATCCAAAGCTAAAATCTTTTGATTGTGAAGTGTCCCTGGCAATAGGCATTTTCCTAAACCTGTTGGTGGGAATGAAAAAAAAAAAAAAATGGTTCAGCCTTTGCAGAAGGGAATTTGGCAACATCTAGCAAAGTTACATATGCATTTACTCTCTCTCAGGGAAATTCCACTTCTAGGAATTTGGCCCAGAGATACACTGTAAAAATAGTAAAAGTTCATTCACCATGTCACTTCAAGAAATAGCAAAGGATTTTAAACAGTGCAGAGTTCCCAGTGGCAAACAGGACTGGCTGAGCAGCTGGTGGGCCTGCATCATGGACTGCTGTGCTTGTCTAAGGAAGAACCAGCTATATGCTGTCGGGCATGGAGGCTAGGATATACTGTCATGGGAGGAAGCAAGGATGGGAAGCGATGTCTGTAGTATGCTGCTGTTTAGTGAGGGAATATATTTTTTTGTTTGTATATAGCTCGTAAATGGAAGGAAGGTTTTCTTTTTTTCTTTTCTACTTAAGGGAATTGAAATAGGGGGGGGGGGGAAAGACATAAAAACTTTGTTTTGTATAGATTTGATTTGGGAACTACTTAAACATATGCATTATTATGTTACATGTATTTATTTATGTGTATGCACACATATTATACATGTGTGAAAGTCAGAGTACAACTTGTAGGAGTTGGTTCTCTTCTTCCATTGTGCAGGTCCTGGGGCTTGAACTCAGGTTATGGGCTTGGTAGTGAGAGCCTGTACTGCTGAGCTTGTTGATCCTCTGTCATAATACAGTAAAATTAAGAGATTATGGCAATTTTGATAAACATTGTCACTTTTTTTTCTAAAATGGTTGTACCTGTTTGCCTCCCTCCCATCAGTACTTGAGAACTCTTTCTTCTTATACCTTTGACAAGTCTAGTTATCATCTTCTTGAACTTTACGAAACTGGTAGGGAAGAGGCTGCTTTCTCTCTTCCATGATGACACTGATACAGAGTCCCTGCATCCCATTATTAGCATTTTCTGTTGTGTGAGATCTGAGTTTGTAGTCTTCTTCATTAGCTCATAAGCTCCTCCTGCATTCCTTTCCACTTGTTGGCTAGCACCAGTTATGTGCCATTCCATATAGTTAGGGACTTGCTTAGTCCCTAACTATAGAAGCTGTTTGTCACTTTGTTATCTTATGTGGGACACATGCTCATATTAGTTTAGTGTAACTGGATTAGACTCCCTGTGTCATTTAAGTACTGATCATTAAGTTCAATGTTCCCGTGTTTGCTTCTTTTTCTCAGTTTACTAACTAGGGCTTATTTCTTATGTCTGAGCAGTGAGTTCAACGTGTTCACTCAGGTTGGTGGCTGATGGATAGCTAATGAAATACCATTAGCCTTTTGGCTTGAGAGTGAGATTGATTTTTTTGTATAGCCCTGGCTGTCCTGGAACTTACTCTGTAGATCAGGCTGGCCTCAAACTCAGAGGTCCGCCTGCCAATGCCTCCCAAGTGCTTGGATTAAAAGGCATGACTGCCCGGTGGGTTGGGGCATGTGCCACCACTGCCCAGCTGAGATCGGTTAATCGTGATTTACAGTGACACATGATAACTACTTTTATGTTCTGTTCAGTGTGAATATCTGGGAGAAGTATTTTCCCTGTGACCACACACACGCACAGATACAGCTTCTGTAGCTGTCAGCCTTGGCTGTCTTCATAGGTACATGGAACGTCTTCTTCTTCCAGGTCATCACTCCCTGTAGGAAGCTCATCTTGTGTGCCGACAACAGGAAAGAAATGGAAGACTGGATTGCAGCACTCAAGACTGTCCAGAACAGGGAGCATTTCGAGGTTAAAAGAGAAGCATATTTTCTATGGGTGCCTGCTGTTACCTCTTTTGCCCTCACCCTAATGCACTCCCTTCCCCCAGTATCTTCTGAGTGGACCCCAGCATGTGTCTTGTAAAATTCAGACCCATGGCTCTTTCTGTGGGCCTGTCAAGACTGTGGTTCTGTTCTTCATGAATCTGACTTCCTCTCTGGGGTACTTCATGAAATCCTCTTTAAGTTGCTGCCATAAAAAATTCCAAAGGGAAATCTTATCTTTGTCTTCTTTATATATCATTCTTCCAGCCTACTCAATACAGTATGGACCATTTCTCAGGGATGCACAACTGGTACGCCTGTTCCCACGCACGGCCAACCTATTGCAATGTGTGTCGTGAAGTTTTGTCTGGAGTCACATCCCATGGGCTGTCCTGTGAAGGTAAGAAAGCTGCACTTGTTACTTTGTGGTGAAAGGAGGCATAAGGTTTTACTTGATAAACTGTTTGAAATCCAAAGAGTCATAACAAATGAGTGTTGCTGTGACTAAGGGTGATCAAGAGAGAAGTGGTCCTCACCATTGCATTCTTCTTGATCTTCCTATAGAGGACTCAGTCCTGTGTTTTTATCACAGAGCTTCTGCAGAGGGGAGGGGATGGAAGGACAGTAGTAGTGAAGAGAGAAAGGTGTGGGCCCTGGCTGGGCTGTGTATCCTGGATGCAGGAGAGAAAATACTCACAGAATGCAGGGTCATAGGAGGGTTCTGTCTTCTGCTATTTTGTATAGCTTATGAATATGGCTTGTTTTACAATTATTTTAAATGGATGAGGAAAATCCAAAAGAAGAATACTTTGTAATATAGAGTTAGATGAACTTCAGATTTCAGTTCCATAGTGTTGTCTGTGTCTGCTTGTCTGCTGGATAGAAGTTAGGTGCTGTGACAGTGGCCAGCATGGCCTGCCAAGTCTCTGCTGCTCACCCAATTGTCCCTACTGACTGTACCCATACTCTGCAGCACCAAGCAACGTCCCTCAAGGGTTCCTCGTTCCACCTCAACTTTACTAAGCAGCTGTTTGCCTCACAGGGAGGCTCCTTTCGAGGGTGAAGCTTGTAGGGTTGTGTGTTCCTTTTCCCACAGTGTGTAAGTTTAAGGCTCACAAACGGTGTGCTGTGCGTGCAACCAGTAACTGCAAGTGGACCACATTGGCCTCAATCGGGAAGGATATCATTGAAGATGAGGATGGGGTACGTCCAGAGGGATTTTGCCTGTGACTTGCACAGCACCCACTATCTCTTGCCTTTCTCCTACACTTCTTTTGGAGATGTCACACTGGGATCAGGGGTCCCTGCCAGTTGTATCTAGGATCACTGTACTCTCAACTCTGCCTTAATCTCCCTAAGTCTGGGTGTTTCCTTCTCAGTAGAACTGTGATGTGGGCGGCATCTCATAGAATAGGCCCCTCTTATCCTTGCCCACACTGGCCATCAGGGAAAAGCTCTGTGGGGAGAAGTGTCTTGCAAAGAGTATGTTCACCCCAGAGTGCCCAGCTGACCCTGTGTTGGAACTTTAGGATGCTTTTAGCATGTCCCTGCTTGGTCTGCAGATTGCCATGCCCCACCAGTGGCTGGAAGGAAACCTGCCTGTGAGTGCCAAGTGTATCGTGTGTGACAAGACTTGTGGCAGTGTGTTGCGCCTGCAGGACTGGCGCTGCCTCTGGTGCAAGGCCATGGTAAGTGGGTACCATCTGCCCTGCCTGTGGCTTGTGGGTGTGTGGAGGTACCTTTGCTCCAGGCTTTGTTTTTCTACCTTTTAACTCCTTGCAAGTTTTCCCCAGAGGCTTTCTAAAAGCTCAGAGCCTTGACTGTCCCATGTGTGCCTGGTAATTCTCATTCTTGACAGTTTTGTAATGCCTTTCCATTGTCTTTTACACAAAAAGTGTCATATCTGCCCCCTACAGCATCTCAGCAGGTTGTGAAAGAGGTCTTTTGGGACAGGTTCATGGACCTTTTCTGAGAGAGTGAGAGTAGGAACATTTTTTTGGGGGGGGGGAGTTCTGAGAGAGGTTTGTTATAGGATAAGAATTATAGTGATCAATACTCTCATGTAAGGAAGACGAGCCATAGGATGGCCATGGCCTCTTGAATACAAATGTCAAGGTGTTTAATGCTGGGTCAGTGATTAGACAGCTTTGTTTCTGGGGCTTGTACCTGGTTTTGACCCTGTGACTGACCAGGAAGGAGCCTAGTCATTGGCAGGCAGGTTGTCCAGGAGACCTGAAAGTTAAGGGTAGCTATGATAGAAGCTGGGTGCTGCAGTTTGGTTTTATGTATGGCTCCCAGTGGGTGTATCTGATTCTTTCCTTTAATGGTGCAAGGCCAGGAAACAGGGTGCTCAGAGCACAGGTTGGCCTACTGTGATGGTGTTTGCCTTTTCTTGGGAGGGTTTTCCAGCTGCTAGGTCATGGAGTCTCTGGTGTGCCTGAGGAGACTGTGACTCCTGGTGACACGTGGATTTTTATTTTAGGTTCACTCATCATGCAAAGAGTCTTTGGTGACCAAGTGTCCACTTGGCCTGTGTAAGGTGTCTGTCATCCCTCCCACAGCACTCAACAGTATTGACTCTGATGGTAGGTGCTCCATGCGCGTACTCACATACATGCCCTTTCTTCACACTTCCTCCCATACCAGCTCAATAAGAGGCTAGGTTCAGCTGTGGAATGGGCAGGGGCCATAGTTGGCATCCCGGGAATTGCAATAGGATCCACAACACTTTTCTGGAAGAGTTTATAGAGACATTTGGCTGTTGAGTAGAGACCAAATGTAAAGTATCCTGGTCTGCCTTAGCTGGAGGGCTGTGCCTGTCTCTATCTGTGGCAGAGCCTAACATACTGGCTCAGAGCCTCTCTCCATGTCCATCTGGACAATAAAGAAGCATGCTGGCAAGGATTGGTGAAGGGGATCTCTGGGTTACATGTTTCAGAGGAAAGAGTTCTGCCAAGCTAGCCATAAGAGAAGGGGACAGTGCAGACTCCTGGAAGATGTGAGGTGAGCTCTACCTCCTCACAGCTGGGTCCCTCACAGACTCATTAGCTCACCCTGTTAATTCTGTGCCTCTTGTGCTGATTGTCGCTGCTTATTCAGTCCATACCACCTCAACAGCTTGTAAGGGTTCTTTCCTATTTGACCCTCACTTCCAGGGTTCTGGAAGGCCACCTGTCCCCCATCTTGCACAAGCCCTCTGCTGGTCTTCGTCAACTCTAAAAGTGGAGACAATCAAGGAGTGAAGTTTCTCAGAAGATTCAAGCAGCTGCTGAACCCTGCCCAGGTTTTTGACCTCATGAATGGAGGACCACACCTTGGGTAGGGATTGTGTGAGATGTGCCTTCTTGGAACTCACAATGTTCTGTAGTTAAAACATGCTTGATTTAAAAGGATCAAAGGAAAGAAACTTTTAGGGCTGGAGAGATGACTCAGTGGATATGATCACTAGCTGCTCTTACAGAGGATCCAAGTTTGATTCCCACAGGGCAGCTCACAACTGTTTATAAGTCCTGTTCCAAGGGATCTGACACTCCGTAGATGCTGCACACATATGGTGCATCACACACATATATATAATAAATGTAAATCTTTATAAAGAATTTTTTTTTTTTTTTTTTTTTTTTTTTTTTTTGAGGCAGGGTACCTCTGTGGCTTTGGAGCCTGTCCTGGAACTAGCTCTTATAGACCAGGCTGGTCTTGAACTCACAGAGATTCACCTGCTTTTGCCTCCCAAGTGCTGGGAAGATAAAGAAAAATTTTAATAGCAAAGAAATTCAACTGCCCATCCCGAAATTCCACATATGAAGGACATGCTCCTAATAGTTGGTACATGTTTGCACCCTTCCAGCTTCCACTGTAAAAGCACCACCTGTCTGTAAACATGTACATGCACCTATTCTAGCTGCTGTGTGCAGCATGTTCACATGTATCCGCTCCTGTGCTTGGGGTCTTTCCATGTTGGTGCTTAGAGATTTGCCTTGCTATCTTTACTGTTAGTTCCTAGGAAGTTTTTCTCTATCAAACCGAGGGGGCTCTTCCATCTTGAGAACACAGTAATGTCTTCATGTAGGTGCTACGACACTTGAGGGCATCAGAGTCAGAAGCCTCTCATCTCCCAGGCAGAGAGACAATGTCATTTCCTTTTGGTTTTGTACTTGCCACAGGTTTGTAGGAAACACAGGTCTGGGCTTCTTTTCTGTGTGTCTTTAGCTGACATGCTGTGGGGCTTTCCATCACTCCTGGGTACTGGGCCTTCAGTTTCTTTTTGCTGCTCTTGCCCACTTGCTGCACAGCTTGCTGGAACACAGTCACAAGTGGCCTTCTCCTCCCTCAGACTGGTCGCTCAAAGGCAGCATTCCTAGAATCCTACAGATACTTGTTTTCTGAATGGCACAGATGCATTCTTTGTGAGGTTGATGCAGAAGTTTCAGGTCAGCTATGAGGAGATTGAAAGTGCACTACATCAGTCTCAGATGGCTGTGAATGTGCTGCCCCAGGGTTACTGCATGCAGGCTCCGCTGTACTGTGGCCAGGAGTTTCTCGTGTAAGAGCTCCCTGATTTACAGCTGGTCACAGGGTGAGGTGACAGAGGAGCTTCCAATGGAGGTGGCAGGGCAGTTGTTTACTCACTTCTGTTCAGGCGCCATGGAAATCACTTGACGCCATACCATTAGTACCCTTTCTGAGTTCTGGCCTTGAGTGACCCTGACTGACCATTGCTTCACCCAGAGTGAGGCTCCTGACAGGTGAACAGTTACAGGACACATGTAAATATTTCTCTCACCACTTGGAGTTCAAATGCAGCCTTGCTGCTCAAAACTTAGGTTCAGTTCTGAGGCAATGTCTTGTTGCCTATCTTAGCTTGTTCTGAGTACTTCCTCTGTGGCCACATCTGCTAGAGACAGGGCCTGCAAGCCAAACCTCCCTGGTGGGAAGGAAACATGTGGATAGTTAGGGTCACATGGTAGGACCCTCTGGCACATGAATAGAGGGAGGCACTGATTCTTTGGGATCTCCATGGTGGGGACTGGTCAGACCTTTGGGGAGATGAGGACATCAGATGCTTGTCAGAAAGGGCTGCCATTGTTTGCTAAGATATTTGATTCTTTCCTGAAAAGGAAGAAAAGACAGCAGCCTCTTAATTAGACAAAACCTAAGACGGACCTCTTGTTTGAGAAGGGTTTTGTTGGAGGCTCCCTGAGAATTCAGAGCAGCAGTAGATGCTGAGCCTAGTTGAGCTTATTGGGAGAGGGGAGAATGCTAGGGGGCCTGTCTAAAAGCTGGGCTAGGACCATGTCCAAGGAGGGGCCTACCCTGCTGCAGGCACTGTAGGAAACCAGGGATGTGCATTGTGGTGGCAGGGTGAGCATGGAGCTTCGCCGGTGTATAGCGTGTGGGATCAGCATTAGTACCTATATGGTTCTTGAAGCGATGAAGTCTGCAGGAAGAGTGTGAGGAGTGAGCAGAGGCCGTGGTGGCATATGAGTGGGAGGGGATTGTATTACCAGCAGGAGCCCAAAAGGGAGACTGAAGTTAAGGAGAGAAGGCCTGAGTTACATGGCAAGGATGGCTGTGTGTCTGGTGTGGAGGTTAAGTGCTGTAGAGGGGCTAGTATTCTGTGGGCATCTATAGCCTGGGTGAGTGTTACCAAGGCTCAGGGCCAAGCACCCAAGAAGGCTGGTGGTTAGCACATGAATGAGGAAGGGATTCTTGGGTGCAGTGTTTGGCTGGTATGTGGAAAATTGTGTCTGGATGTCCTCAATTGAGAATGTCTTGATAATCTGTAGAGAGTGTGTGTGTATTGTCTCCTCCTTGGCCTTGACTGGAAGAGCTGCTAGTGTCTGATACCATCATCATCCACATAAACTAAAATGGACCCTGAGCAGAGGGGCTGGACAGACACCTAACGTTGCTTCATAGACCCTGTGTACACCGGGGGTTGGCCTGGATGCAGATAAGTCACCACATGGAACAGGGTGCTCCCCTCAGCTCAGGATAGACAAACCTATCATTTGTCTTTAGGGATATACTCATTTCCTTGCTTCCCATTCTTTACAGCTTACGGTTATTTCAGAAGTTCGACACCTTCCGGATTCTGGTTTGTGGCGGGGATGGCAGTGTTGGCTGGGTCCTTTCTGAAATTGACAGTCTCAACCTTCACAAACAGGTACCTGGATTAAGGGGCACGCCTGCTCTAGGCAAGATCTGAGGTCAGAAAGGGAGCATGAGGTTCTGGGTACTGTGCTGTGTTTTAATGTGTCTATGTTCTAGAGGCTGTGCAGGTGTCTGTGTATGTGTGTGGGGGGGCAGGGTGGGCAGGCAGGCAGATGGACAGACAGTCATTTAGGTCAAGGAGCTATAAAACACTTGGCATCAGGCTTTATATGCAGAACGAATGTGGGGGTTATAGACACCTAAGCTTTAGCTCTTTACTGGGAGGCGATGTATCCAATTGCTGGATGCCTTGGGCTTGAGAGGAAAGGAAGAAAGAATCTTCAACTTCTGAAGTTTGAGTTATGTATGGTTCAGTGAACCCATGCCAATAGATTATCCCGATTGCTTACTGTGCTCATTCAATGTTCATTCTCGGCCCCCTTCCTTGGTAATTTGCCAGTGTGGACACTGTCATAACCGTCTCTCAGATTCTTGTGTCAAAATGCACAGTTTTTCTGGTATCCACCTGCTAGTCTATTTCTGTACTGTTGAAAGAGCAGTATGTGCCCTTCTATACTCTGCTCCATGGGCAACCCAGAGTGCCAGTTCTCCAGGGGATGCTCTCCCTGAGTTAGTGCTTTTCCCCTAGTGTAGAGGCTGAAAGGGCTCAGACAACCCTGGCAAAATCCTGCACACATTCCGGTATTTTCTCTTTTGAGGAGTCCTTATTTAAATATTTTTAGTGCCAAAGTGTACTTGTCAAAAATGCTCCAGTTCCAGTCTCCAGGTCACACGAACCTTCCTTTGCCTTGTGGCTCATTCTTTTTGTTTTGCCCAACTATGTAAGCAGAGTCTCATTTTTAAGTAATGATAAAGTCGAACAGCCTTATTGGACTGATGTTTTAAATGAGCCCCCCTGTACGTGATTTTTTTGTCTTATTTTCTGTTGAGGTAATCACATTTTAAAAAATGTTTCATGATCATTGTCCTATCAGCACCTCACCTGTCATTAAAGATCAGATTTTCCTAGTTTTTTGGTTTGTCATTTTTCTCTTCCTTCATATTTTTTCTTGTCCTTGAGGTACTCACCCCTGTGCCAAGATCATAAAAACACTAATCTGTGTTGTGTTATATACTGTCTAATGAATCCCTGACTTGAATTCAAGTTTTCAGTTATTCTGTGTTCTCTGTGATAGGTACTTGGTGTGTTGTCTGGAGTAGAGATGGTCCTAGGGCCTACTGACAGCCACCAGTAACTCTCGGAAAAGAAGTAGTGCCTCCCAGTGATGGGATTAGAGTTGCTCAGATGGTTTGTGACAGCTGTGAATGTGGTTTTTCTACCCAGTCATGTTCTGTCAACACTTGCTTCCTGTGCTTTCTTTGTGCTCCTCGGAGCTCTGTCAACTCTCTCTTGCACCTCTAGTTTCTCTGGTCCTGTTTGTGGTGATGTTCCTTCTCCTGGCTTCTAGTACATGCTGTATGGTTGGACCCATCCTCACCCTTCACTGTGTTCCATAGGAGAAGCTTTGTGACTTGCCTTAAGTTTGGTGCCATGTCAACTTTTGCGACTCTCTGGGGTCTTTGGGTGTGGCAGTGTTACAGGTTTCCAACCCTGCCTGTCACTCACTTCCCACCTTGCCCATATGTCTTACCATGCCTCCAGGGACCAAGCAGAAGCCCCACAGCTATTCCTAATTCTTTGGTCTTCCTCTCTGCTGGCAGCAGACTTTACCAGACCCCTTATTAGCTCCTTTCTTCTCTGCTCTCCTTTCTTCCCTTACTTCTCCCTTCTGTTCAGTCTTGGAGGATAGAGCAGGACTGGGATCAGTTTGGAGAAGCCATCACCTCATAGATAAATGAATGGGAGCAGACTAGGCCTGGAATCTTCAGACTGACTTAGCATGCTTTTGATAGGACCTAGAAGTCAGTGGAGGTGATTTAGTGGTGTGGAGTGATACTAGGGGCAGCGTTTGGCATCAGTGAGTGAGATGCACAGTGGATGGAGAGATGTTTGGGAGTTACAGGCTGATCTTCAGCTGTGGTATTGTAGTATCTTTGGGGAGAAGGGGTTGTAGAAACCAGGGTCCTCAAGAGTTGGTTGTCAAGGCATGTAAATAAGTGAGGGAGGGCTGGTGATCCTGGTATCTGTCATTGACCCCAGAGCCCATCTGTCCCTTTATTGGGACTCTTTTGAAAAGGTACAGGCCACACACCTCCTCTACTTGCTGTGGCCATTGATGACATTGACAGGTGGGTCCTGGATGGGAATGGTTTTTAGATCTGCTGTCTAAGGGCATGTTTTTCCCACTGTTTCCCACCAGTGTCAGCTAGGTGTGCTTCCCCTGGGGACAGGGAATGACCTGGCCCGTGTTCTCGGCTGGGGCTCTGCCTGTGACGATGACACCCAGCTCCCTCAGATCTTGGCGAAGCTGGAGAGGGCCAGCACTAAGATGCTGGACAGGTGAGTGGACAGCCAGAACTGTGTGAATGGCAGCTGTGACAGGGCTTCTTAGTGTGAAACCAGTGAGACCAGGACCATGGACCTTCTGACATGTCTTGTAGAAGCTGGACTTGAGCATATTATTTCTTTTTCTGATGGTGTTTGAATGGATTCTGAAAAGCATAAAAGCAAACAATGAGAAAACATGCCTTAAACCTCCAAGGCCATCTTCTGAGACTATACCTGCATGCTTCAGGGTTGCAGAGAAGGTGACTATAGTCTTGGTTCGGGGTCTTATAATGAATGATCTGCAGAATGACTCTCATCACATACTCGAGCATTACATTCATTCTCCCTCTATTCTGTTCCCAGAGAGAGTTTGGGTAGTTCTCCTCTAGAGCAGTGGCTCTCAGCCTTCCTAAATGCTGCAACCCTCAGGTTGTGGTGACTCTTAACCATACAATTATTTTGTTGCTACTCTATAACTGTGATTCTGATACTGTCATGAATCATAATGCAAATACCTGTGTTTTCTGATGGTCTTAGGTGACCCCTATGAAAGGGTTGTTGGACCTCAAAGGGGTCACAACCCACAGGTTGAGAACCATTGCTCAAGAGCATAAATACCTTGGCCTCCCTAAATAAGGTGTTCCTATTTCTGAGCTAGATGGCAGGTCCCCCACCCCCAAGACTCCACACCTGTCATTTCTTTCTGGTGAGAATATTCCTTGGTGTTCAGGATTCAGATGGCCAGAATGACTTTGATATGCCTACCATTTGGGCCCCTCTTAGTGAGGGACTCCATGTGTCAGCTCTTGTGAGATACTGATCTCCTCTGGGCACACTGAACAGTATGAAGCTCTTGAAACAGTGTGTTATGTCAAGGTGGGAAACATTTCCAGTCTCTGATGACCTATGGGTTGTGGAGATGAGACATTACTCTCAGACAGGTGAAGAGCTAAATTGCAGATGCATTGTCAAGATAGAGCTCAAAAATAAAGCCAGATTGCAAGTGGTATGGTACGCCTGCGGTCCTAGCACTTAGGAGGTGGAGGCAGAGGTTTGGGTCATTGCATCTCAGTTATATAGTGAGTTCAAGGCTAACCTGGGTCACACCAGTCCCTCTTTAAAGAAACAAAACAAAAAAGCGGAAACAAAAACAGAAAAAGAAGAATAGTGCTAAAGTCAAGGCACCAGACCAGAACATTGGAGCAGTGAGGAGTTGGCTCTGGGGGTCTTCAGATCCCTTCGTGCTGGTGGGCAGCCTGGGACTGAGCTAATTTTGGACTTGTGCAGGTGGAGTGTCATGGCATATGAGACCAAGCTTCCTCGGCAGGCGTCTTCCTCCACAGTCACTGAGGACTTCGGCGAGGACTCAGAGGTACCTCCACCTGCTTGCTCTTGTTTTTTCTCTTTATAGTGTTGAGCGAGTCACTTAGGATCTCACACTCAGCACTGAGCTGCACCCCAGCCCATCACCTGCTGTTTAAGCCCCACATGGTGATCTTCATGTACTCAGCTGTTTGACCGTATCCCTGTCCCTTGTGTGGTCCTCAAGGGTGAACCTTGAGACTATGCAGGCTCAATCCTAGGGCTTCATATGTATGGGGGTTTCCTAATTGTCACCAGGATTTGAAAGGGCTTCCTAATACCTCATCACTTGTGACGTCCTATACTCCTGACTGTAGCTCATCACCTATTGCAATCTACTGTTCCTCTCTACCAGTCCCCTTCTGTCTGCTTCCAGAAGTCTCCATGCTCCTCTTTCTGTCCACCTCTCCCTCTCTGATGTCTGTACTGCCCTTGCAGTTAGCTCACTCTGCTTCAGTATCAGCTTTTGGTGCTGAACAGTAGCCACTCCCTGAGTTCAGCTCCACAGTCCTTAGCAGGGTTGAGGGAGAGTGTCTTTAGGTCCTGACTGCAGTGCTGTGTTGGTCCTACTAGGTAAGTGGCACTACCTGCAGAGTCAGCAAACAAAGCCAGGTCTGCTTTGCATGGCTTCACAGGCAGAGAATGGTCTGTGCTTTTGTTTTGAGAAGAGTATTTGTGCAGATGCTGGGTGCTGTAGGGCATGTGTTTAATCCCAGTGCATGGGAGGCAGAGGCGGGAGGATCTCTGTGAGTTCCAGGCTAGTTTGGTCTATAGATTTGTGTTCTAGGACAGTAAGAACCACACAGAGAAATCCTTTCTCAGAAAAAAAAAAAAAAAAAACCAATATATGTATTTGTTCAGACCTGAGAAGTGCCCAGAAAAATCTTGGAGAGTCTTTCTGTGGTCTGTGGGAAAGCTTACTGGCCACGGGGAGGGCAGAGAACAGGGGAGTTCTCCTGTTGGTGGGTAGAGGTGTGCAGGCTGGTTTATACCCCATTGGCAGGGTTCCTGGTCGGGTAGAACAGTAGCATTTGCTCTGACTGGCAAGCAGCTATCACTGAAGGTAGGCGTTGTGCCAGGCCCTCCAGGCTTGTTTCACTGTCCTGTCTGTTACCTGCGACAGGTTTGGTTTTATTCACACCCATTGTTTTAGTCTGTTCATAGGTCGGTAAAGCTCTTTATCTTGTTCCCTTAGCAGTGGGCAGCCCTGATAGTGTTTGAAGATGGTCTGTTCTGTTGGAGGATACACCAGAAGGGTCTGAGAAATCCCCAAGTGGGAGAGTGATGACATAGTCGATTGTGAGACTAAGTGCCCCCTGTTGTGGTGTGATTACAGGTGCAACAAATTCTCTTCTATGAAGACTCGGTTGCAGCCCATCTTTCCAAAATCTTGACTTCAGACCAGCATTCGGTGGTGATCTCATCAGCCAAGTGAGTGACAGGGCCTCCGGGGTTCAGAGAGGCAGCCAAGTGTGTCCCCAGAGTCCCCAGCCTAGCTGCCTTCTGTTTCCTACAGAGTGCTCTGTGAGACAGTAAAGGACTTCGTAGCTCGGGTGGGCAAGGCCTATGAGAAGACAACAGAGAGCTCGCAGGAGTCAGAGGTTATGGCCAAGAAGGTGGGCTCCTGAGCACAGGGTAGGTGGGGCAGCAGACGCAGCAGAGCTTGTTCTCCATACCATTTTCTCTCCCATGTAGTGCTCTGTCTTGAAAGAGAAGCTAGACTCCCTCCTGAAGACCTTGGATGATGAGTCTCAGGCTTCATCCTCTCTGTCCAACCCACCTCCAACCATTGCTGAGGAGGCTGAGGATGGGGATGGATCAGGCAACATCTGTAGCTCCACTGGGGACCGGCTGCTGGGCTCAGCTTGCCCCTCCAGGCCACAGATCTTCCGGCCTCGGGAGCAGCTAATGCTGAGAGCCAACAGCCTGAAGAAGGCAATTCGCCAGATCATAGAGCACACAGAGAAAGGTAATGGACCTCTTAGTCACTAGGTGGCACTAGAATTCCCACGTTCCCTGGATCAAGCACTGTGAAACAGTTATTCACAGTGCTTCACCTTCACCCTTACATAGGAAACCCCCACTTACCAGCATCCTCACCCTCCTAGCCCCTCTCGCTTCTCTCAGACAACCCTCCCTCACTCCTTACCCTGAGCTTCCGGGGGAGCCACCTCTTCTTACTTCATATTCTGTAGTCACATGGCACCTGGTCACTGGTGTGGCCTTGCTACTCACTCTCCTGTTGGGGCCTCTCTATAGCTCTCCTCACCTCCACTTCCTCCTGTCTCAGAGTCGTCCTCCCCAGCCTATTAGCTGGAATGCCCAGGTGCTGTTGTAGTAACCGAGTTAGGATGCTGGGCTAAGGTATGGTATGGTGAGGATTCTGGGTCTGAGCCTTGAGCCATACCATTATTGAGAAGAGAGGACCTAAAGCACCCTTAGTTCTTTCCACTGGCAGTCTTAGCAAGGATATTCTTTCTTTACCAGCTGTGGATGAGCAGAATGCCCAGACCCAGGAGCAGCAGGGGTTTGTCCTTGGCCTCGCTGAATCTGAGAAGAAAGACTTCAAAACTGATAATAGGGGGTGCCTACCATCTGCCCACAGTGAGAGCTGTGTGGTTGCCAAGGGGAGGAGCCACCGCAAAGGTATGTCTGGGCTTTGGTTTGGGTGATACTTGGTGAGCTTGTCACAGGGGCTTTTTTTTTCAGTGCTCTGGCCACTTGAGTAAACTCATCTGTGGCCTACATCTCTTACCTCCTTCATGTCACTGAGATGTGTTTAGTGGAAACAGGTGCACTGTAGAACCTGCAGCAAAGATGGTCCCTACTGCTGAGGAGTGTCTTGTACTTGTCTACTCTGGGTTTCCTCAGAGCCTTCTTATGGCAGCTCATATGTGTCTGGCAAAATCGAGACTTGGAATAGACCCCCACAAAGGTCTTCAAAAGGAAGGGGTTGTTCCCATCAGCCTTTCCTGCCACTGTTGGGGAGGGAGGGGATTTCTTCCAGAGTAGACAGTGTTAATTAGCATCAGAACTCTGTGCCTTCTACACCGGACTCTCCATCCTTACACTGCTTTCAAGATGAATCCAGGCCCACATCTGGTGTGTGTTGGTGTTTGTGTGAGGACCTCTCCCTTTACCGGGGGACTGTTTATCTTACATACTGCTGTCTGATGAGTGGCTTGTAACTCCCTATCTTTCCACAGCCCTACTCTCTGTTCATTTTGTTGGGACTCCTTTTAGATGTGTTTGACTTTGGACAGTTTCAAGTGTCTTGTCCTGTTTTACAGCATCCAGGGCCCCTTGTGAAAAGCTAATGAGCAAAGGTCTGTCCCTTGGCAGCTCCGCCTCACTCCCTCCCCAGACAGGAAGCAGGGATGGTTTGCCTGCTCTGAATACCAAGATCCTATATCCAAGTGAGTGAGCCACTCCCCCTTGGGGGGGGGTCTCAGGTTGGGGGTGGGGTACCAAGGAGGCTAGAGATGCTTGCTGGCCATGGCTGGGCTTGTGGCACCCTGGGTCTTAGAATAAGAGTGTTGTTATCCTTGGAGAGCTTGTAGGCTCATGGAAATAATAGACAGAACTCTGGTTTATGTGTCTGTATGAAAAGTACCTTTTTGTTCAATTAGTGTTTTTCTTTAGTAATTTCATACATGTATATAATGTATTTTGATCTTTACTTTATGTCCTCCTCTTAAAATTTAATTTTTTTTATAATCCACTGAGCCTGTTTAGTATGCATTTTAATGCTCTACCTACTGTAACATGGGAACTTATGAGCAGCCACATACCTAACACAAATGACCCCCTCTCTCCCAAAAGCTATCAACTGCCAGTGGCTCTTTTACTGGGCCCACGGCCTTAGGAACCCTTCCTAGATGTGTGTTTGAATTTTGGCTGGCTTGAGATCATATAGGTTCATGAGTGCAGTTGCCATGTTATGTCCATATGACAGCATTTCACAGCTCTCTCCCCATCCTGTGGCTATTGCATTTTTTTCTGGCCTGTTTCTCAGTGTTCACTAAGCCTTTGGGAGGGGTGCATATAGTTGTCCTATTCAGCATAGAGCACTCAACACTTAGTCATTCTGAGCACTTTGATCAATTAAGGGTATCTACATTAGCCATTTCCCACTGGAGAAGAAGCTTCTCTGAGCAAGGTGGAGCATAGCACTAATCTATAGATAGAAACCAATAGTTAGATTGCAATTTGACATCATGATTGCTTAGTAAAACAGCAGGTTCTCTCTTAGGATCCATATTCTTCCCAGTCACGGACTATTGGTCAGGTTTGTACTGTATATACAGTACTAGTTATAATACCCCCTCTTGTGGTACAGGCCACAAAGCCAGGCAGAAAGTTCCCCCATGACAGTCATACCACTATTGTACCAGTGGGTACATCTTGCCTAGCAGGTCGGTAATTGCAGCGTGCAGAGTCCAGTGCTGGATAAAACAAGTCATATTTTTTCTCCCAGCAGTCTGCAAAGCACATTTTAGCTCCATGAAACCTAGCCGGGTGGGAAAGAGTTCCAGATTGATTTTTCTCTGTCCTGAGAGCCAAGAGTGCAGCATCTTTAGCAAGAGACTTTTACCATGTAGTTATGGTGGACAACCAAGAGCAGTGTCAATAGTGTATGTTGTTTGGGAGTTCCTGGGGCCTCCCTTGACTGAAAACTTAGAGATTAGTAAGTATCCCAAGCCTGGAAAGGTACCTGTGTGTCTAAGGCATGTAGTGCTCATAATAATGCCCAGGTAGCCCAATGAGAGTTTGTAGGGGTCTTCTGGGTGTAAAATTCTACTGTTTAATATAACCTACTTTTGTCCCATAAGTATGGGTGGTAATGGTGATTTTGAATTGTTAGTCAAATTGGAGGACTTGTTCATAATGTTGTCTTGTAGAATATGTGGCATCAACCTTGGGGACTGGATTTGCTCTGTCTAGAGCTCCTGGCCAGTACCCTCTTCCTCTTCCCTTTCAGGTGTTCGGGCAGGGATGTCTGGCTCCTTGCCAGGGGGCTCAGTCATCAGTCGCTTGCTAATTAATGCTGATCCCTTTAATGCTGAACCTGAAAACCTGTGAGTATGAGGCAACACCAATGGGACATTTTGTTAGGATGCAGAGTGCAGAGGTCTCATCCACAAATCAGTCAGAGCCATCAATGGACAGCTAAGTAGTAGGCTCTTTTTTTGGTTGTTCTTGAATGAGGAAAATGTGCAGCCATGGAAGTGTGTATGAGAGCCTTCCCTATAGGCTACTATAGGACAGCAGAGGCATTTGAATTAGATGTGTGATCTGGAAGGACTCTGGTTCTCATCAGGTTGCAAGGAGCTTAGGCTAAAATGTATTAGAATTCTGGTACAAGCTTTGTGGAGCCCCTCTTCATGCCCAGTGTCTATGGGAGTTTTTAGAACTTACCTTTTCACAGTGCCTCCCTTCCCTGGAACTGGGGGAAAACATGGGTAGGACACGCCTATGGCTCTGGAGGAGTGGGTGAGTACAGACACAGTGCCAAAGACAAGTCCCCAGCAGTGTTCTGGGGAAGGGAGACTTTGGCATTGGTACACAAGTTTTCAGTCACTTCAGAGACTGCTTGGGCAATGTAGGATCATTAGAGAAGCATGCCATGAAGATCTCTGGGAAACAGGCTGTAGTGCCTCAGAAGTGCAAACCAGAAGCTATGTGTCCCAGTGGTTCTGCCCATGGTACAAACTCTAGAGATTCTAAAACACATGTCTACAACAACAGTAGGCATTAATGCTCCCAAGGCATCAGTAGAACACAAAACAATTTGAATGTCCATCAGTTAATGAGAGGCAAAAATATGGTGTGTCCACATAATGGAAGCTTGCTTTGCAGTAAAGATAACATATGGATGAGGGAAAGGAGCCAGATACATAGGCTACACTGTTTCATTCCATTTATTTGATAGGTCCTGGATAGGCATATTCAGAGATCAATGATTTTTCCAGGGTCAGAGTAGGGGGGAGGTAGGAGCTAGGGCAAGTGATGATGAGTCTGAAATTTGACCGTAGCAGTGAAAGAACTCTGCTGACTCATGTACTTTACGTGGTAGTGGCATTGTATGTGAATTACATCTCAGTAGAGTTCTTACCAAAACACACAAACACCTCAAACAAACCCTGAATCAGGGCTCTGGGTTCAAACTCTAAATGCAGGAAAACAGAAGTTCACCAAAGTGAAACAACTGCAAAACATGGAAAAAGCGATGAGTTTTGCTCTATGGGAGAAACTGCTGCAGGTCAGCGTGGAGGAGCTTGTTAGGCAGAGCTGTTGAGTTTAAACTCACCTTTGCAGAGAGTACTACACAGAGAAGTGCGTCATGAACAACTACTTTGGCATTGGCTTGGATGCGAAGATATCTCTGGACTTTAACAACAAGCGTGATGAGCACCCAGAGAAATGTAGGTAGGTAATCCTTGTTGTCTGAAGAGGTGGAAAGCAGGCAGCCTGAGAAGCCAGCTTGGAAGGGGAGGGCCAGCTTGAGCAGGCTGGACACCAGGAAGCCAGTGGTGATGGGTGACTGGAATGGGCTTCCTCTTATCCAGCACCAGAGTCGTCTTTGACCGTATGTCAGAAGCAGGTGACACGAGTGTGCTGCAGGGTCACTGCCCAGCACTGCTTGTAGATAGAGCTCTGCTCACCCACAGACTGCCCAATCCCCTCCCAGTTGTCATCAGGACATGGGATGTATAGAGGCTGGGGATTTGGAAATTGTTTTTTCCCTTGTGCTTTTCTGTGTTTTCCAAATTCTCTATGGCAAGCATAATTTTATTTACTTGTATATGTGTGAGTGTGTATGATGATCACATGCTACATACAGTACATGTGTAGAGGTCAGAAGACCACCCCAGGAGTCATATGGTCCTTGCTTTCCACTCTTTTTTTGAGACACTTTTCTATTTTTCACTGCTGTGCACCTGGTTGGCTGGTCCAGGGACTTCTGGGGATTTTTTGCTTCAAGCCAGGTACCCTGGGATTATGGATGTGCTCTACTGCATCCAGTTGTGTGTATCTAGAGATTCAAACTCTGGTCCTCATGCTTGCATAGCAATAATTTTATTCACTAGTCATCTCCCCAGCATAATTTTATAGCCAGAAGTCATCTCTCTCTCTCTCTCTCTCTCTCTCTCTCTCTCACACACACACACACACACACACACACACACACACACACAGAGTTACTGACTTGTTTTTCAGGGTGATTGCTTTCTTGGCAGTGTCAGTTTGTAACATACTTCCTCATTGGTAAATTTAGTCTTCTTACATGTCTGAGAAGCCCAGACTATCTTTTATGGTGTCTTGTTATACACTGTTGCTGAGTCCCCCCAAGTTTTACAGCAGTAATTTCAGGTTACTGTAAGGGAAGCTCTGCCCAAAGTAACACTTTTTTCCAGGAGTCGGACTAAGAACATGATGTGGTATGGTGTCCTTGGCACCAAAGAGCTGCTGCATAGAACCTACAGGAACCTGGAGCAAAAGGTCCTGCTGGAGGTGAGTGTTAGCCTCCAGGCATTGTGGGTAATTTCCCATCCTTGGCTGTAGATCAGTCATTCCCGCTGGACTCCCTGGAGGTCTCCTGCCTCACCCCAGGCCTCCAATAGTGCTGGGGAAGGAAGGACTGATGCATGTTGACCATTGCTCTTTTTTCTCTATCTGCCTTTTGTGGCTCAGTGTGATGGGCGCCCGATTCCCCTCCCAAGTCTTCAGGGAATTGCTGTCCTCAACATTCCCAGCTATGCCGGAGGGACCAACTTTTGGGGAGGCACCAAGGAAGATGATGTACGTATGGGGTTTGAGCTCGGTGGGCTGGGCTTAGCAAGGTCAGGGATTTGTGACTGGATGGAGTACCCCTGGTCCTGGCAGTAGGCATGGTGGAAGACCAGACAGACAGGCTCCTTCACTGATTGGCCTGCTATCTAGAAGGCAGATCTAGCAAATTATCAAGTGAGGGGAAGCTAAGACTTGAAGGAGAACTCAGGCTGGCCAAGTTGGGTGGTACTCTGATGGAGAGTACATCATGTTGGTAGAAAAAACAAGATGTAGAAGGGGCAGAGTGCATAGAGAATGGTCCCTCAACTGCAGTGTAAAATACATACATAGAGAAGGGGGACATATGTGGAGCTTGTATTGCATGGGGCTATAGAAGTCAAGGGCAGAAGTCTAGAATTTATCCTAAGAATGTAGGAAGATATTGACAGGCCTTAACCAGGGGGATGACATATTTGCATCTAGCTTAAAAGAAATCAACTAGCATTTACTGCAGACTTAAGAGTAGGCCACTATTCTAAGCACCTGTTAGCACATTTCATTTCACATACCTGCCCCTAAGGAGCAAGCAGCGTTCTCTCTCTGAAGGAAGAAGGGTATGAAAAACTTGGCTGAGGTGTCATGGCTAGTAAGTAAAAAGTGTGAGAGCCAGTCCCAGGCGATGTGCTAGCTGGGCAAAATGTCCCACCTTGTGTTGCACTGACCATCACTGCACTACCTATGGGTGTGGGCCTGTCTGCCTCCCAGAACTCCCACAGTAAGAAGCAAAACAAGGGGGAAGGGGTGTTTGGGGAAGTGGGACAGACAGCTTTCATGCTGGCCCTTTCAGACTTTTGCAGCTCCATCATTTGATGATAAGATTCTGGAGGTGGTCGCTGTGTTCGGCAGCATGCAAATGGCTGTGTCTCGTGTAATTAAGCTACAGCATCATCGGATTGCCCAGGTACTGGCCATGCTGCTCCAGAGGTCTAGCCCACCCACTTCTGGGGCTCATCCCTGTTTGGAGAGGCAGGGCCTGGCCCAGAACTTCCTGGATTTGCACACAGTACAGACCCAAGGAATACAAGTGTCTTCACACAGCCCCAGTCTGTCTCCTCCCACTGAGTGTTCTGAGCCTTGGCAGAGTAGAAAAGACCCAGCTGAGCTGTGGCTGCTGCAGAATTAGTGTACTGTGGGCATGGAGCTATCTGACAGTGAGTGCGCCCACCAGAGTCTGGTATACACCTCTCAAGTCTAGCTTTAATTCTGATAGCATTGATGAGCTGGTGTGGGTCCACCCACTTGGGGGGTAGGGAGGAAATGACTATACAGACAGTGGAGTGCTGATAAAATCTGTTGGGTGAGATCTGCCTGTGTCTTCCTGCACCGTCTCCAACAGTCATCTGCTTAAAGTTTATCGTTTTGTTTGTTCTTGGGCACATTTTTATAAAAGAGTTGCAGGGCCTTATCATCTGTTGTTGGACTCTGCTCTGCCCTGGGGACGTTTGCACACAGTATGGGTAGTGACTGACTCTTTTACACTTTGGTATCTCTATCTGCACATTTGCATCTACTATTTCATGTCTGGGGAGGGAACAGAAGGAGCAGGTCTGGCAACAGATCAGAGGATATTGAAAAGGAAGGCCTTAGGCCAACAGCCAAGTAAATGGCTGTGGGTGAGGAGATAGGGAGTGTAGCTATTCAGAGCAGCAAGGCCTGTGGGTGCTTTAAAGCCCCTGGCACCTAAATAATTGTTAATGGCATCTGCCTAGTGTCGCACAGTGAAGATCTCCATCCTGGGGGACGAGGGCGTGCCTGTGCAGGTGGATGGAGAAGCCTGGATCCAGCCACCTGGGTACATTCGGATTGTGCACAAGAACAGGGCACAGACGCTGACCAGAGACAGGGTAAGAGCAACTGCCAGCAGGGCTGGTGGGGTAGGGGCTATCAGTGCCTTGCCCATGGACTCACTTGAACATTCATGAGAGGCAAAGGGGGGTTTCATGCTTTGTTCTTGGATTTCTCTTCACAATACAGATTAGCTGACATAGTGGCGTGCCCTATAGTCTCAGTGATGCAGAGACAGGAGGCCAGCTAAGACAAATTCTAAGATAAAGATGAAACTAACATCCTTTCTATCCATAGCTGTTACCTTGCTGAACCCTTGGTGTGTTGTGGGCAGGTGTGTGCTCATCCTCTGAGGCACAGGAGAAGTCTGACTCTGGGTTCTCATGTTTTAGGCCTTTGAGAACACTCTGAAGTCTTGGGAGGACAAACAGAAGTGTGAACTTCCCCGCCCACCATCCTTTTCTCTGCACCCTGAGATCCTGTCTGAGGAAGAAGCTACCCAGATGGACCAGTTTGGGCAGGCAGCAGGGGGCCTCATTCACAGGTAGGTTCTGCTGCTGTGTTCCCTGAGGTCCCATTTGCTGGCTCTGCTTCACAGTGGGGGCCTGAGCCTGACTCCTCTGGTTTGATTTGCTTCCCCCCAGATTAAGACCCACAGGGATTTTTTAGAGCCACTAAATCTTTAAATCCCATGCTGGGTTTCTGAGAAAGACCTCAGACTGCCCTGGAGGGTAGTGTGTACCTTGCTCTGGTATTTATCAGGAAAATCAACAGGCTTTTCCCTCTTTTGTAGCTGCCCCTGACAAGTGGTTCCTAGAGCCGCTGTTGTATTGTCACAGGCATTGTCACTGTGGGCTCCTCCCTGCTTACCTGGGGCTTTCTCCAGAAGTTCTTGTCCTTTCAACAGCTTGGCCTCTCTCAGTTCTCCTGTGAAACTGCAAACCAGTTAGTGCCCTTGGCTGTCCATTTCTTGTTTCTCTTGGGCTTTTTCTTTGGCTCTGGCTATGGATGCTCTGCGTTTCTTGGCCATGACTGCTTTGCTCTAGTGGGCAGAGGCTTCAGGCTCCTTGGCAGGTCAGTTTCTTTGGTCCTTGGGGGTGGCTCTAGGCGCCTCTGCCTCCATGCTCCTTGGCAAGTAGCTAACATAGTGCAACCCTCATCCTGCTCCCTTCCCTGTCAGCCATATTTGTCTAGTTCCTTGTTTTGCACAGGCCATGGCTCTATCCTAGGCCCTGGTAGTTTAGGAAGCCTGCCTGGAAGGTGTGTTTACTAGGTCAGCCTTCTGAGAGCCACCAGTAGTCTCATACTTCCCACAGTATGTAAGTTGCTCCCAAGCTTCTCACCCAGCATGTGCTGTCCCATCCCACCTTACCTTACCCAGCTCCTATGAGCTACCCTCTCATTGGCTCTTGGTCTTGCCCAGGCTGTTCTGGCTCACAGCTGATCATCACACCAGGTTCCTTTTAGAGGTGGGTGTAACTTTGGATTGCAGAGTCTTTGTCTCCGAGTTTCTTGAAGGCCAGCCTGTCTGCAGCGCTGCCTGCAAAGCTGTTTGCCTACTTTGTATAAAATGCATTTTCTTCCCTGGAAAAGCTAGGATTTGATATCAGATTTCCCACATAAGTCCACTGTTATTGATTGGGATGTGATATGTCAGCGGCTATCACTGAGGTCATGATGGCCTGTCAGACCACTCCCTGTGCATCTATTCTCTGAATGTGTTTATAAGCAGTGAGTGTATAAAGGCCTTACATGTGCCACCTTCCTTCTTCAGCATTCGGGAAATAGCGCAGTCCCACAGAGACATGGAACAGGAACTCGCACATGCTGTCAATGCCAGCTCCAAAGCCATGGAACGAGTATATGGCAAGCCCAGAACTGCAGAGGTACTTGGTCTCTTTGGATCTGGCTCCTCCTCACCTTTGCAGCTCTTAGCCTTCCACATGGATGCATTTGTTCTTTTCAGGGATTGAACTGCAGCTTTGTTCTGGAAATGGTGAATAACATCAGAGCACTGCGCAGTGAGACAGAGCTACTGCTGGCTGGGAAGATGGCCCTGGTGAGCTGATAAGCAACAGGAGGGCTCTAGTTGTATGAGATGACCCTTGTCGCCAGGGTGTTGTAAAGGGTAACAGTTTTCAGTTCAGGGTCCCGGTGGCCACATCTCAGCCAGGGTTTGTCAGATGTTAAAAACCCCTCTTAACAATGTCCATGTAGTGGACAACACATGTTTCTACCCTCTTCCTATGGCGAGGTGCCAGTCACATCAGGTACGCTGTGCTTATCATGTTTCCACTCAACATGGCTGCTGGGTCAACCCTCGTTTATTGGATGGGGTGGGGGTGCTGCTGACCTCTAGGAGCTTGCTCAGATGGCTGGCCACTAGCCTGAATATGACATGGAAGGGCCTTATTTGAGACTCCCAGACTAGTGTCCCATTCTCCACTCCAAAGTGGTGCTGTCCTGGGTGCTCGAGCTGCTGCCTTAGCTGTCTCCCATGTTTGTGCAGCAGGAACATGACCTGCCTGCTCGGTGACAGAAGAACCTAAAGGGACTACAGCTGGCCAGGTGCCAGGGCAGTGGTTCACCCATCCTTACCTATTCCCTAGGGAGGTTCTGGGCTCAAGCCTTACCTAGAGCTCCAGTTCTGCAAAATTTTTATAGCTGTGTGTGAGGATGATCTAAGCTTACCCACCTGGCTTGGCTGGTCCAAGCTTGCTGTAGCTAGCAGCTCCATTTCTCTCTTTTCCTCTGGAGTAGCAGTTGGATCCCCCTCAGAAGGAACGGCTCGGGGCTGCCTTAGTCGAGATGGACCAGCAGCTCAGGAAACTGACAGACACACCTTGGCTCTGCCAGCCCATGGAGCCTGGTGAGGAAGAGGTATGTTGGTCCTGAGCATAATAGCTCATGCTGTTATTCCCTGTGTGCAATATAGTCCTTGGGGCTGCTTTGGCCTGGAGCCCGTTTGCCTCCTGAAGACTTACGCCACTAAAACGGCCCTCAAAGCAGGGAGAGATTTAGGCATGGAGGAAGGAGTTGAGGGTTGGGGATGAAGAGTGACTCTTGATGAATGTGTCCCCACTGCCTCTGAAACAGGCAGGACTAGGGGTGAAGCAGGTGGCAAGATACATTGCGGTGGCAAGATACATTGCAGCTTCTTGTAGGTTAACAGGGATTGAGTTGGTGTGTTCATTCCCCATTCACAATTTGCATCTGCGGGTACTTGTGAGATTCTAACTTGGTGCACCTCTAATATTTTGGTTATAGTCAGGGTTCCAGGGCATACTGTACCTGGAACAGAATCCACCTACAGCAGGAAGGGCAAGCTGAAGAAGACAGAAGAGGGAGGAAACATCTGGCAGGGACAAGTCTTAGGCTGCCTCTGGGCTTCTGGTGTCTTAGAGATGGAACAGAAGGGGCCAAGAGAAAAAGTCATCTTGACCTCCTATAACACAGGAGACAATGTCCTCTTTAACATAGTTGCAGGAGATAAAATGATAGTAAACAACACTTCTCTGCCCAGTTTTAGTCAGTGAGAACCTTTGGCAGCAGTGTGTAAAACTAAGAATGAAGATGTTGGGAATGGGTGTTGGGGCTTAGAGCTTAAGAACACAAGTGCCCATTCCAGAGGGTTTGGGTCCCAGCACCTACACCAGGCAGCTCACAACTATGTGTAACCCTGCTTCTCTGGGATCCAGTGCCCATTTATGGCCTCCTGTGCACCCATACATACATGGTTTACACACAGATAAGTAACTTAAACCATGTTTAAGAGGCACTGAAACAAATGTATAAGAATAAGGAAATAGAACAGTTAATGAACATATTTCATAGATTGGGTCTTGGCATGAGTTCCTCATTCTCAGTGTTTTCTACTCTCTAACAGAATGTGATGCTGGATCTTTCTAAACGCAGCCGCAGTGGTAAATTCCGCCTCGTGACCAAGTTTAAAAAGGAGAAAAATAATAAGAACAAAGAAGTTCACAGTAGCCTAGGAGCCCCCGGTACCTGCCTCTTTCCTGTGTGTCTCTCTCTCTGGCTGGCAATGCCAGCTGTCCTGCTCAGTTCTCCTGGTCTCTGCTTTTCTCCTCAGCCTTGAGGCTCTTCCCCTTGGTCCTTGTGCTATGTAGGATTCCCTAGTCACACTGGCTGCACTAGTCTGTCTTGTAGCTACAAGACCAAACCTTGCTTGCTTCCTTTCTCTGTCTGGTACTGACTGATGTCAGTCATGCCCTGCTCAAATGCACCTTCCATGGAGACTGTGGGGTGATGGGCAACTGAGCTGACCTGCCTACCCTAAATTTGGGGGCTTATGGTAGGAGGACGACAACAGAAATGACGAGACAAACTTGGAGAAGACACAAACTCAGACTGTGCTGGGGTCCTCTGTGCCTGTTCCTCTGGCAGGCTGCTGCTTCCAATTTAATTGACTCACTGATCAAGGTTCCTAAGCCTGGCACTCCAGGCCACCAGTGATTGGGTGAAGAAATCAATAGGAAATGGTGCTAAAGAACATTTTTCTCCCCCTGGATCAGTAAATTTGGGCTTAAAATATATCTCCTTGGCCCAGAGCTCCGGGGCTGTGTCTGGCACCTTTGAGGGTCAGAGCTGGATTTGGTGTGGCATCTGCCACCAGTCAGGGCAGCTCTTGTTTGATTTTTCATCTTTGCATGTTTGTTTAGAATTGGGTTTCTGTGAATGATGGTGGATCTGACTCTGCATGGCCACAATCTCTGCATGTCTCCTGTAGTGCTCCAGCTGTGGACACAATGCTGGCTTTAGTCACAGAGATGGCCTCTTTATTTGGTGGTGTTTAATGCCTTTGGAGCATCCAAAAGGTTATTGACCCACCTGGCAGGAGTAGCCAGCACTCCTGCAGTGCATGCCCCTTAGGGGAGGATGGCTCTCTGTCTCCGTTGCACTGCTGGAGCAGTGTCTGTGGCTAGGTGATGGCTGCTGGGGTGCCTTGGGTGCTGAAGCCATCTTGTGTAGCACTGCTGGGTGTCTTGGTGTTGGCTGCTGGGCTCTGAGCATTCACTGCACTCGTGCTTTTCCGTCTCTGACAGTTCACCTCTGGGGGACAGAGGAGGTTGCTGCCTGGCTGGAGCACCTCAGTCTCTGTGAGTATAAGGACATCTTCACGCGGCACGACATCCGGGGCTCTGAGCTCCTGCACCTGGAGCGGAGGGACCTCAAGGTACTTCACAGGTGTCTTCCTAGAACCCACACCTGGGCTCTTACACACTCCTAGCTATGTTCTCTTCCCTGACCTGGCCGCATCCTAGCATCACCCAGTCATCACACAGCTAGTTCTTCCAGGACCGTTTTGTGTACCTCAGGTTGACTAAGGTCCTTGCCTTTAGCAATGGTGGCTTCCTTTGGCACAGATATCAAGGCCAAGTGCAGACACAATGGGGGAAGCCTTGGTTTTCTTAGCCACATTAAGTAGGTACTATCTAAACATTAGAAACTAGGGGTTCAGCTGACAAGCTCAAGGTCTCAGTGGCTGGTGGGCCCTATACTATGCTCCATAGTGAGTGAAGATGGAAGAGTCTGCTTTCTCAAGCCTAGAAGGAGGGTCAGACTGCTGATCCTCCCCTGCACCTGTGCATCAGGGAGTACAATCAGGTCTGCACCCATAAACTCGACTTGCATAGCCAAGCCCGGGCCTGCTTGGCTTCAACGAGCTGTCTTATGGACATTGTGTCTGGTTTTGTCCCAGGAAGGCAAAAGGCCATCGGGGCTTCCTTGACAGGTGGCTCTCCCAAGGCTATCTGCAACCCACTTTCTGTCAGGCATCTATTCTTTGTCTGTGGGCTGTCCTTCTTGACAGTAGTGTTATAGGACACAGGAGCCACATGTTGGTATCTACATAACTGACTGTGCCGATTCTTTCCCATTTCATCTGCTGTTATTTTCCTCATTTGTATTCGAAAAAGTGACCGAGAAAACTTGTTGGTGACAGCCAATTTGTAGAGCCTCTGGCCTGAGCCCTCTTCCAGATATCTATGTCGTCTGTCTTCTCTGTTGCAGGACCTCGGTGTGACCAAAGTGGGCCACATGAAGAGGATCCTTTGTGGGATCAAGGAGCTGAGCCGGAGCTCCCCTGCCGCCGAGGCCTAGCCTCTGCATTCTCTGCCTGCATCCTCCGCTCCTCCCAAGACTGAAGCCCAGGGAGGACACTGCCACCACTCAGCCCCTGGCCTTTCTCATGGTGCTATTCCCTTTGTTAGTGACAAGAAGCCTGATGCCCGTTGGTAACAGCTTTGGAGTCTTGAACATACCAACACAGCTACCTTCGAGATACCTTTCCTAGCTGCAGTTGTTTGGGGCAGACTCTCAGTCCCACTTGTGGCTCTCACTGACCTGCCTTGTGGGCCACAGGGAATATGGTGAAACCTGATCTCCCAGCACCTGGCACCCCTGCAGAACCTTCTTACCTGAGCCACATGCTCCGACTGTCCTGTGTACTCCTTTTCAGTGTCCTTTATTGGTCACGCTGGGCAGCGCCGTCTCCACCTCTACCTGGTCTCAAAGGAGAGTGGGCCCAGCCTGAGTGGTCCTCACCAGAGTGTTCTGTGCCTGACAGCCACTCTGTGGTTCTTCACAGCAGCCCCGCAAAGGCCGCCCACCTACTACCCTTTGTTCATGAGTTTTAAGTTTTAAAAACAAAGGTGTGCACTTTCCTGGGTTGAAAGTAACATGGGTGTATTTCTAGGCTTATTATGTATGGGTAAAGAAAGGAAAGCCCTCCTGCTTAGGCCAGGCCTCAGGGCACTGGGCTTTCCACTGGGCTGTGAGCATGTGGACAATCCATGCATCTCCTTAGGATGCTACAGGTGTCTGCAGTCTAGTTTGGGGCAGACAAGGATGAGTTCATACTAACTAGCTCAGCATTACTGTGGAGGCCAAGCTTCCTGGGTGCTGGCTCTGTAGTGGTTTCTCATATGCTGTGAGGCCTGGTGTCCACCAGGAGGTGTTTGTGAGGACTATAACCACAGCCCACATTGCTGCTGTCCTGCTACTACCTGCTGGGCAGAATTGGCTCTGAAACAGCAGGTGACACTGTTGGTGGCAGAAGCTCTACAAGGCCCAGACTGCACTCTGTGGGCAATTCCCAGGTGGGGATGCTCTTGGCCTTCATTGCCACTGACTTACCCTTAACCCCACTTTCAGAGATGGCAGTCCTCCACAGGGACTTGTCTATCAGCTGGAAAGGGCTTTAGCAGGAGGGCTGCTGGGCTGTGGTCCTCACCCAGAGAGGATAGTGCTGGGAACTCTCTGGTGCTTTCCTATCTGACTTGAGAAGTGCTGAGCTTGGACTCTGGGTAGAGCCTGCAGCAGCCCCAGCTGAGGAGGCAGGGTTGACATGCTGCTGCAGATGCCATGGGTCATCTTCCCTTCATCGGTAACAGACCTGAGAGCCCTGGCCAGTAGAGTGGAGTATGGAGAGCCTACAGTGCAATTCCTGCTGCATTATGCCTCAGGCCTAGAGTTTTACCAAAGCAACTGCCAGTATCTGTGGGATCTGTTGAATATCACATGTGGGCTGGGAGAATCTGCCCTGTGTGTAGACTTCGCTGCCTCCATGAAAACAACCTTGAATGGAAACAGCTGTCACTTTTCCATCTGGGGGTTCTGTCTCTCACTGAGTCAATTTAGACCTGCATGTGGAGGAAGGGATCGTCTGGCCTCAGAAGTTACAGAGCCTGTGACTGACCAACTGAAACTTAAGTGAGGAGGGAACCGAGGCAGAGAAGCAACTGAGGGTGACAATCAAGTCCAGAGAAAGCATTGCATTTTGGTGAGGGGTGCTAGAAATCAGTGATGTCAACTACTGAAACAGCACTGTTTATATAGTCAGCAAGAGGTCCAGTCTGAGTGGGGACCTGCCAGATGGCCATGGGCCTGTCTACAAAGGGAGAGAAGATAGGATCCCTGAGGAATTGGAGAAAAGGTTTTGTGCCTACAGGTGGGGCTAACCCTCATATTTATAATCTTAATTTATAGTGACCACCTGGAGCAGATGCCCCTTGTATTGTTATGTAAATAGTTCACATCTGAGAGTTGTAAATAAATTCTTCTGTGTATAATAAAAACAAGCCTGGTTTTGATCTTCCACAGTCAGCATTCCTGTCCTCATTCCTGGGCTCTGACAGTTGCTAGCTGCTCTGAAGACAGGCTGACTTGGTGGCTGTAAAGCAAAACAGAGTCATTGTATTTTGGGGGAGCTGGGGTCTGTTGGATAGGCAGTTCACCCAGCATTAGCCCTGGGTTAGCAACTAGCAACAAGGCCAGCCAGTGGGTAAGTCTCCACTGGTGGACTGCAGCTGCTGCTCATGGTTCTTGTCAAGGTGCAGTGAGTCACATTGATATTTGGCTTACTGAACTTAAAAGAGGGAGCTGTTGGTGCTTCCTTAGGTAGTGAAGATTCTGCCACCGCTGAGTCCCTGATAGTCAAGTCTGACCTAGAGGGAAGCTAGCATCTATGAAACCAGTTTTGGATTGACAGGAAATTCTTGGTACCACCTTTGCCCTGGCCAGATTCCATCCCCCAGAATAGTGAACAGAGCTATGTGTCAACCAGTTTCTTCCAAAATACTTTCCCATGAGTTTAGATTTATTTTAAGCCAAAATGTACTTATTTCAAAGCAGTATTTCTACATAATATAAATCATGTTTGTTGAGTGTCTGAAGTATGCATGGAGAAAAGGCCATACAAGCTCTCTTTAAGCAGCAGAACACAAAGCAGTCAGTATATGACAGAACCAAGGACTGCAACTTTAAAAATGGTTTATTTTTTGTTTAATAAAAATCTTAGTTTTTTTTTTTTTTTTTAAATCTGTTTAGCCTAGTCTATCTCCCAATTAAAAACAAACAAAAACCAAACAAAGAGAAAAGCCTGTCAACAGGCTTGGGCTGCAGCCAGCACATCTTCTGGCTCCTCCAGGTACTTAAAGGTTCAGGGAGCCTCTGGCTTCCTCAAAGCAAAGTGTCTCAGCTTGTACGTTAGCACTGTTGCCAGAAGCTGGGCTGAAAGGGTAAACTAAGGAACTTGTCAGTTACAGTACAACAAACAGTGGCCATTACCCAGAGGACTCAGTTGTAGTCCAGTAATGTTTAACTATTTTGGTCTCCTGGAACCCTTGGTGTGTAGCTTACAAGGACGTGGCCTAAAGGTTACTAGCCCAAGTCCAACATCTCATACAAATGCTTCAACAGAAATGGTCACCTACAGTGACACTGACTCTGGCAAATGGTGTTAGAAGACAAAGGGACGAACATGAACACCTACTGAGTGTCAGCTCCACAGAGAAGCCAGCATGGATATACCAGGAGCCTTTAGCCAGCAGGGGACAGCTGAAGGCCTGGCCAGTTTCCTTTTCCCTGTCTCTCCCTACCTTAGTCCTATTACATGAAGACATGTAAAAGCTGATGAGAAACTGAGACCCTGACAGCTCCTCTTAGTCGTGCTGTCTTAGACTAAGTCAGCTCAGGGTCCCAAACCTGCCAGTTAGGCAATAGATACTGTTTTGATAGTCTGTTAGTTACAGTGCATAAATACCCAATCTCTTAAATGGACTAGTTACCTGTGCTGACCGAGAAGGAAGAGGCCTCAGTTTGCCAGGACAGCGGGGGGCCTGCATTTGTTGTGCTAGGCTTGTATGCTGCTCTGCCTCTCGCCAGGCTGTAGTGGTAAACATCACACCAAGGGAGCATCAACCTGAGCCATGGATAGCAGAACTGGCTCTTCCTGCACAGTTGTCCTAAGAGTCCTACTTCGAACTTGGCAAGAGGAGAGGCACATGCTACAGTAAGGACCGGAACTGGAGATTAACTCAGGACACACCCGTTCCTTGTAGCTTTAGCTTTCGATGACTAATTGGTCATCAACAATGTAAGCAACTGACCGTGTGTTTTCCCTATCAGATTTGTCCTCTTTGAGCAACTTGTCATTGTCCAGGAGTACACTTTCTGGAAAGAGGCTGCTGGGGCCAGGCTTGGGAGGTCTGTACTGATTGGCACAGTGTCTGGGTCTGGGCCAGCTCTGCAGCTGCTCTTGCTTGGCCTGAGGATTGTCATCCCCTTGCCTGTCACAAAGCTGAAGACTTGATATCACTGGCTATGGCGGCCACCAGGTTGTCCACCTAAACCCACAAGGCAGCTGTCATAGACTGGTGGGGCGTTCTATCTGGAGCACAGTACACACAGCTGCAGGGGCTATCTGAAGCTGGCAACGTGGATGGACAGAGAAGCTTCTGGTCCCCGGGGCCGAGTAGGCATTCCTGCACTGGAGAACACGTCGCTGCTCTGTGCACGCAGGACTTCTCGGCTGTAGGAGATACACAGTCATGGGTGAGGGGCCTATTTAGGTTTTTTTGTTTTTTAAGATTTATGTATATGAGTGTTTTGCATGCATGCGTAGTGCCTGTGAAGGTCCGGAGAGGGCAATGGGTACTTGGGACATAAGTTATAAATGGTGTGAGCCACCATGTGTGTGGATGGGTGCTGGGAACTGAAGTCAGGCCTTCTGCAAAAGCATTAAGTGCCACCTCTCCAGCCCCTGTGCTGGAGCTAAATGAATTCCTGATATTAGGGCTCAAGGTAAACTAAGGTTTTCAAGTTAGATGTTTTCAAACTGCCCAGTTCATGCTCATGTCATCCCTGTGAGAAGGGGGTTCCCTATAGCCTGGCTACACACTTAGCAGAGTAACCCTTTTCTCCTTCACATTTTAAATTGAAAGTTAACATTTACAGTGTACTCAAATCATACCCATACACCCATGTGACAGTTAAGGGCAGCTTCATTTTGCTCCCTCAGGTAACCACCACTCTCGCACTTAACAGACCAGTCATTACTGTGACTCCCAAACACACAATCATGGCACTGTGACTGCTGGTCTGGCATTCATACTGCACTGCACAGTGGCCTCTGCAGATGACTCCATGACAGATTCATGCTAAGGCTGAGCTCAGGCTACTGTGTACTTTCTGCGGTGTCTGCTAAAAGTGAGATTCTGTAGTCCAAAGTGGTGTTCTAGCTCTACACTTGCCAGTTGGGCAACTATACCAGGCACTATCTTCTTACCAGGATGGCATCATTTCAGCATTGCTAGTGGATGTGTAGTGGCTTGAACTGACATTCTGTTGATGAATGAACTTAGTTGAGGATTTTCTGTTTGCTGACAAGCTGTCTGTACTTCTCTTTGTGAACTGTCCGCTCATACTTTTTAACCTATGTTTGTATTAGCTCGTTGGCCTTTCTACTAGCAGGTACGTTTTTACACCAGTAGCCCTAGCTTTTGACCCAGCCACCACACTCACAGAGATGTGATCTACAGATAAACTATCTATGCCCCCAGTTACTCTGAAGTTCACCCACATATGGCAGCAAAGTGCCATGTTCCCACCATTTGTGATGGGCTGTCAGTGAAGGTGCCAGTGGTGCTGATCCTTTATGAAAGCAAGTTCAAAATGAAGCTCAATTGGTGGCTTTTGAATCTGGAAGCCTGCAATAACATGAAGTCTCAAAAACTAAGATGGAAAAAAGTGGGAAGCAGTGCTGGCCGGGGAGGACACAACTATTCCAGTGCTGTGCAAACACAGGGCGCAGTGACAGCAATACCAATCCACAACATTCCAGCTCTTCATGGGGACAAATGTGACAGAGCCTGACCTGGAACACTGTTAGATGACAACTAGGGCTCTTGTGGAAGATCATATGAGATGTCTGAAGGTAGCAAGAGTGCCACATTTTCATTCCTGGTGGCCTTGAGTGGGGCTTGGCCAAGCCTTAGAATTACCTTTTCTTTTTTCCTAGAGCCAGCTGCTTCTGGTTTTCCTTTCCAATGTCATCTCTGATTGTGCTGAAGTCATCATCATCATCAAACAGGAGATTCTACATTCAAAACAATAAAGACCAAGTTTCCAGTGTGGCATACATTTAGAAAACACATGTAGTAAACTATTGAAACTGACAAGATACTTAGATTTAACTGGATTGCTTTTTCAGTCAGTATTTGTATTTATTTGCATGTCACAGTGTGTGTGTGTGTAGACCAGAAGACAACTTTGTAGACCCTGTACTAGCCTCCCTATGGCTGGGAGGATGGTTCAGCAGGAAAGAGTACTTGCTGTTCAAGCATGAGAACTTGAATTCAACTCCAGCAACTATGTGGAAGAAATCAGGCATGTCTGCTCCTGCTTGCTCCCTCTGCATTACCAGGCGTGAAGACAGAGGACCACCGAGACAGACTAGTTCCAGGTTCAGCAAAAGAGCTAGTACAGAGAGCTAGAGCAGGGTACCCAATGTCCTCCCCCTGGCCTCTGTGCATGCATAGGCAGGCGTGTAAAGATAGCTACGCACACGCACACACGCACACGCACGCACACATTTAAAGACTAGATTGGCCTGAAACTTACAATCCCCTTGCTTTCAACTCCCAAGTGCTGTGATTACAGGTATAAGGCACCAAGTCTGGCTGCTTGTTAGTGTTTTATTTAGAGTTAAGAGTTAAGTTTACTGGGTATGATGATGGTGTGTCTTAGCTGACCTGGCTACTACAGATGTGGACACAAGCCTGGACTGTGTAAAATGGGGGAAGCTGAGCAGCATCATGCACTCATCACTCTTCCTGACTATGCTTGTGATGTGACAAGGTTTCTCACACTCTGTCCTTGTGACTTCACCGTGATAGGCTGTACCCTGGGACTGTGAGCTACAATCAGCCCTTTCTCCCCTTAAGTTGCTTTTGTTAGGGTTTTTATCATAGTGATCCACAAAGAAGCAGGGCCAAGGGGAAAGGGGGTCAGAAGTAAGTTGGCCTGAGCCCTTTTTTATTGTCCTTGGCAGTGCTGGTCTCAAGGCTTTACCTCCCTCACATAGTGAATTATCTGTCTTTTCCTCTTTCTTACTCATTCTCTGAAATAATTTGTATAAAATGAGATTATCTGCTAAGTTTCTCTACAAAATATTTGATCCTTGTGTTTCAAAACAGTAAATTCACTCCTCCCTACCCCCTGGAGTCAGGGTTTCTCTGTAGCTTTGGAGCCTGTCCTGCCCTCGCTCTGTAGTTCAGGCTGGCCTAGAACTCACAGAGATCTACCTGCCTCTGCCTCCAGA